GTAGTGTTTTGTGCTGGACTTCAAACTCTTGCTTTCATATTCCATGCTGTACTGGACCTTCTGGGGAATTAGACAGCATTTGGGCACATCTGTAGACATGAGCTGTGCCCTTAGCTTTCTGGACCGGAAGTTCTTCAGTGCAAGCACCGACTCCTTAAGATCTTCCAGGTTTCATGGGAAGATACCTCCATGGCTGGAGCTTGGGCTGCAGCATCATCTTCTTGAATAGAGGTGCATAAATTTGGAATACATTTTATTTTAGATGTCAAAGCAAGCATTCTGGATTGCACTCTGAAACCATCCCAATCTCCTTTGAAAATCCAAGCTGTAACTTATATGAAATGGAGAATCCCAGGTGCAGTGTTCCCCTTTCTCTCTCCTGTTTGGGTATATTAGAGAGGCATCTGATCAGCCAGAGACAGAAACTTAAAAGATGGGTCAGTCAAGAGTTTACAGTTGCATTACATGTAATTTTCTAGAAGATAAAGCTTTTCCCACATAACTTTGCCTATCTGTGAGAATAATAGTGCAATAATAACTGCAAACACAGTTGGACAGCAAATGGCAAGTCAGGTCCTGATTGTTCTGTCCAGGGCATGCGTGTGGATTCCAGAATCGCAAGCCACATGTTTGTAGATTTTACCTTCCATGGAGGAAGTGTTAATCATAGCATTTGCCAAGGAAGGTGAGGTGAGCTTTAGACTGTACGTAGAAGTAGTTCCTTGGGCACTTACATTGCACTAATATCCCTTAACTTCCGATGCCAGCCACTTAATTAAGATATATTTTTGATCCCTTTCTTATTCCAGGGGGCTTATAATTAAGACTGACCATTCAGCTTGCTTTATAGACTCTCAAAGTGCGTGTTGATTAGTTGCTGTAATTCTTTAAAATATTATGGATATCAGAACAGTTTATCAGTTCTACCAGCACAGTTTCTTTTGCATGGAAGATGAAAACACCTTTGAATACATTTGGGAAGTATTTGTAAACATTTCAAGAGGATATGGCCTGTTCTGATTTTGGAACCTAAATTTCTTCACATCTAAGCAAGTCATCTACCTTAACTTGCTACCCAAGAGTGAAGCCCTCTGCTCTTCAAGACATCAGTGAATTAAGAGACGTTAGTACTGCCTGGTTGCAGTGTGCAGTGTTAATCTACTATCCCTTTGCATTGTACTTCCCTGTTTAAGCCTAACAGCTTTGACATGTAAGTCCTCTTTTTGGAAAAACAACTGATTGGTATCTGCTCCAATATGTTTTGTAGCACCTACCCCCTTCTCCCTTCCCAGAGCTAACAGCGATAAAGAGACCATCTCATCAGCAACACTTCCCTTTCCTCCCTTCTCTAATGTTTTGCCAACATTGTACACAATGTCGTGTCAGTAGGGCACTGGGGAATTGTCCATACCACAGGCTTCAGACTGCAGCGTGACTTCTTTAAAGCCTGCACTGCGAGCGGGAAGCAATAAGCCTTAGCAATGATGGCTTGTTACACCAGAATGAAGTTACAACTCTGCAAAGTGAAGCACGAAGTACACCAAACAGAAATTGGTGATGCCATAAAACCATCAAACTGACTGAAAAAAGATAGTTTATGAGAACTGAAATGTCTCTTCCAATAAATGCCTTGAAATTCCAAAAAAACCCAGACAAAAATCAGTAAGTTTCCTTAGCTTTCTGGAGCTTTGATACCAAAGCTTTAAAAAAGTATTACTGATCTTAAATCCTGTCTCTCAGAAACAGTGAAGGAATCATTTTGCAGAGAGCAGAGGAAGAAAGAAAACAATTGCAGAGCTATTACAATCAAAGACATGACCTGCACATGGCAGAGGAGTTGCTTTTGGAGTCTGTAGGAGTGCTTTGAGACTGGAACCCAGACACTCTGGCTGAAAGGAAAAACTCCATCAGAAATCAGTTAAGTCCAGTTAAACTCAAGTATTACTTCAGGATAAAAAGACTGGTTTTGTTTTTTGAACTGCTAAAAAATGTCATGAAAACAGTATTTGAACAAGGAGCTTACTGGCAAAGCCAAAATTTCACTGTTGCTGTGTCTAGGTACCCATACTTCTTACTATTTAAGTGTCTTGCTATCACACACATGTAACCTCGACTACAATAACATCTGATGTTTAACAGGTTTTAGTGTGTTTGACTTTGTGGCGCCCATGGTATGTAAGGAAGTTGCTGTCTTCAAGTTACGGGTAGAGAAATGTGGTTTAGTATGAGATTATGAGAGTATGAGTTAGATGACATCTCATCTAACTTTAGCACTTTAGAAGTTAGTTGTCTAAGTTGGTTGTCTGGGTTCTGTCCCCCATTGAAGACACCCCCAGGAGGCAATCCATCCCCACCCTAAAATAAATGGGATGAACCAGCCACAGAGGTGCCTCTCTTTGTTGTCAAGAGTTGCACCCCCAAACGAGACATGTCATGCCAGTTAAGATGAAATGTCCCTTCGGGGATGTGAGTGGCTCCCTATAGGATGGGGGAAGCAGAATGCGTTCTCCCACCTCCCAGGACAGGGGAGGTGGGAGAACTTCTTTCTTTCTTTCTGCTAGTTAGTCAGTAATGGACGGGGTTTGCTATTCCACTGCAGGCTGGGCTTTTCTTTAATTTTAACAAACTAGGTGGGGCGAGGCGTGCACGGTAATACTGCTGTGTTTAGAAGGAAGGCCACAAGGAAAATCCAGTTGTACCAGAAAGTGGTGCTGGTGACTCAATAAACAGCATGGCAACAAGTGTCCTGGTGTGGTGCTTCTGAGCATTGCCTTCCCAGTTGTGCTGTAGGTGAAATCTCAGAGCTGCTAGTCATTACAGGATCATACTTCACAAGAGCAAAGTATTAAACCCCAGACAAATTATATGATAGGTAACTCTGTCCTCCTGGCCCTTACCTGCAGCTTCACCCATATTACACAGTCTGATGCACAACCTGAGCTCAACTTTTGTGAGCCCAGGTGGAGTTGCTGTCTTCTGTCCCAGAGATGGCAGCAGTCTGGAGCAAGTGAAGTGATTTCTACATATGCAATAAGTAAAGCCCTTTGGGATTTTATATGGAGACCTGTATGGAAATGTAATATATCATTATTTCATGAAGTTACATAATTTTTAGAGTTGAGATTTTGCAATATCCCCATTAATGTAAATGGTTCACTGCACTTGATGCTCGTGTTTGTGCAGCAGCCCAGAGCGGTACTCTTCCCACATTAAGCACAAAGCAGAACAATAAGCAACGAGGAGCAGCAATGCTTGTGTTTGACTTGCGGTTCTGGTTTTCC